ATCCCATAGTGCTGTACGGATAGGAATATATATGTTCCCCAGGAAGGATCAAGAAAGTCCCCCCCCCCAGTTTGCTATTGTTCGTTATTGGGAGTAGGGGGCTGGGCATAGGCAATACATGTGGCTGTTGTCTAATCAACTCCTACGTCCACAGTGTCTGTGCCACCGGCTCCCCACTGTCTCTGTAGTCCATCGCCACCGATCCCCCAGCCACACAGCAGATTTTAAGCACATGCTAATGCTCCCTCTATCCGGGGCCACCCATTGTTTATGTGGGTTGTTCGTGTGTCATTCAAGGATACGCTGCAAGGCTGTAAAATGATGATATTTTTAAAAAGTGGTGAAGTGCCAGTACTCCCCTATGTCTAGGCATGTTTGCAAGAGCATAGAAGAAGCTCTTGGAGTGTTGCTTGTGGCGTAATCAAGATCTCTCCCCCAGCCACAAATACCGGATGACTGCCGAATTTAAAATGTAGAAGAAGGAGAAGGATGCTGGTAGCGCTAGTGGGATGGTCTGGAGAAGGTAAAGAACCTGTGAGAGTAAATTCATTTTGAGCACTGCTATTCATCCGTGCCATGTTTCATGCGGGTATGCCCATCTGTCCAGGTCAGCCAGTATGTGTAAAGTTGTGTTCGTAAATGTCTCATGGATCTGTAGTCACCCAGATTCCAAGGTACTTAATTTTACCAAAGCACCAATGGCATCCAAGGCAGCGTAATCGTCCGCATGAAGGGTGACATTAAGCACTTCACATTTCAATATGTTGAGCTTAGAGCCAGAAAGCCTACTGAACCGTTCAAATTCCAAAAGTAAGCAGGGTAGCGTGGTCCGGGGGCTAGAGATGAAAAAGAGAAGATCATCCACGTATGCGGTGACCTTGTGTTTCACCCCTGCCAGGAGGAGCCTCAGATTTTGGGGTTCCTGTGAATCCCTTGGAGTAGTGGGTCCAGGGTCATAGTGAACAGCAGCGGGGACAGAGGGCAGCCCTGCCTCGTTCCATTGCTGATCCTCAAATTAGTAGTCAGGGCCCCATTGACCTACACTGATGCACATGGTTTGTTGTACAGAGTGGTAATCCAGGTAATCAACCTCTGTCCCATCCCCATCTTCTGCAGCGTGGCTAACATGTACGACCAGTTAACCTGGTCAAACTCGTTCTTAGCATCTGTCGAGAGTAGAAATAGGCATTTTCATAATTTCCTCACGTGGCGTTGGATTGAGAAAAGTCGCAAAGTATTCTCCCAGCCCAGATATGAATCCCGTTTGATCGGCGTGAATCAAGGTCGGTAAGACAAGTTGTAATCTAGTGGCCAAGACCTTTGTAAACAATTTAGTGTCTACATTCAACAGCGAAATTGGGTGAAACTGCTGCAATTCACAGGGTTCTTCCCAGGTTTGAGTAAGACCGTAATGGTCGCAGCCAGGGACTTTGCCCTCCTTGTTTGCATGAGCATAGAAGAAGCCCTTGGAGTGTTGCAAGGAGCGATGATATCTTCGTGAAAGGAGTTCTTTCAACCGTCGTCTAGCCTGCATATATACCCAATAACTGAGTCTGCTTGTGTTGGAGTTCTAATTCCGAAATGGATTTGTAAAGGTTAGTGATCTCCCCCAGTGCCGCTTTCTTTTTGTGAGTGGCTAGGCAAATGACACTTTTATGAGCCTCCCATATCGATATCGGGGATATCTCCACTGACTCGTTTTCCCAGAAGTAAAGATCCAAGGCCTGTGATATCTGTTCCCGCACCTGGGGGTCCAAAAGCGAGGCCTTGTTCAATCGTCAAGTCCAGGCCGCTGGTCGAAATAAAGGGGATTCCAGTTCTATACCAACTGGCCCGTGGTCTGACTAGGTGAATAGTCCTATAGTGGCTTTCAACAGTCAAGAGAGACCTTCCTGTTGAATAAGGAGATAGCTAATGCGGCAATAGCGGTCATGGAGGGTGGAATAATGTGTAAAATCCTTGACATCAGGGTGAAGTATCCTCCAACAATCCATCAGACCCATTTCGCCCAACAAGCTATGGATAGAGCGAATGCCTAGGTGGAAGATGCAGCAATGTCCCGATGAGGAATCGAGCAGTGGGTCTAGGGGGGTATTGAAGTCCCCATCTAGAATGAAGGGAGAAAGGAAAGAGAGGGAAAGAGTGGAGAAGGTAAGCCAGTGTTAGAATATATGCCCCCTCCTTCCCACAGATACAGGTGAAAGAGAACTACCAAGCGGACCCCCCCTTCCCACAGATACAGGTGAAAGAGAACTACTAAGCAGACCCCGGGACAGAAGGGTTTACCCGAATGAACCTGGAAATGGGGTAATTATAGTGCCTCTTTACATCTTTCCCCAACTTCAATGGGTCAGGGAATGGCCAGAATCCTCCCCGTGTGGATGTTTAGACAGTGGGATGGGGGGATAAAGAAAAGGACAGAGTAAAAAGAGGGGTGGAAAAAATGCCCTGAAACCTTCCTCCTTGAAGGGATGGGACACGTGGTGTAGATGGTGTCTATTTTCTAACAAACCTGTGTCTTATCTACTCTCATGTTGCTTTAACCCCTGTATCACAACTCAACTTTGAATTCTATGTGTCGTCTTGCTCCGAAATGCTTCAGACTTGAGAAAGGGAGGTTCTCCCAAAAGCTTGTCATTAAATAATTCTGTTAGTCCAATAAAAAAGGTATTACAAGATACGAATGTTATCTGTTTTTTACATCTATATAAATATATATATATATATATATATATATATATATAAATTAGAAGACATTAATTGTATAGAGGAACTAAGCACTGATAATTCATGAAATATGAGGAGAAATATTCGTTCATTATAACATCTCACAAAGTTAATTTCAACTTGTAAAACTCAGGTTTAGAAATATGCAGAAACTTTGACCATAAAGTCGTTTTTTTATTTCTTCTTGGCGTTTGAAATTTTTTGTTCTTTTTGTGGCTTGTTCTTAATTCAATTTCTCTTTGGCTGAGAACATTTTGAATATCTGTTCCAAAGGGCATATGGCCTTATGATAAGAGAGCAATGACAAACCTACACTGAACAGCCAAATTAAATTACCTAAAGTTGTACTATCACATAATGAATCCCTCTAGGATATCCATTCAATAACCTACCTTTTTTGATTGTTAAATTAAACTATTGGGATTGTGTCATTTACGCCACATTTAATTATCTTGGTGTACAAAGCTGAGAGTTTTTAAATGTCCGTTGAGTTAAATAATTTTCTTTAAAGTAAAATAATGCACAAAATAACTGTTATGTTTAATTAGTAACGTGTGCATTGTCCTTTTTTTCAATTTATTTTATGAAAATACAATATTCTGTTTTAATTTGCAAAATGGTCAAAATAAGATTTGAGGAAGTGGTTATTTAATTTTCAAGCTAATCCAATCCAAGGTAAATAGTATTGAGCACCCAGATGTTAATAGGCATGATACTAGTTAATACACAGGAGATTTATCTTAAATTGTAAAATAAACTCAATAGGTATTCGATATAAAAAGGAAAAAGTAATAACAAATTATTTTGATATAGAATTTATCCAATGCAAAACCATCCCAAAACATATATTCTTGCATTTGAATACAGCTGCTCTATGTATAAATAAATCCATGCTTCTATTTACCTTTTTGAAACTGATTGCTAAAGGTAAAATGGAAAACTTTGAAATTATTTTTAATTAGCAAGCACTCCAGAACTTGCTTGTTGTAGTTTGCTTTGGTGCAGCAGGGATACAAGTGAAATCAGTGAACCCTTTTTTTTGTGTATTAATCTTTTTCTAGTCACACTTTAACTCAATAGCATACCAACTGAAAGGGGGGAAGTCCATCCCAGGTGACAAGCAGGAGGGAGGTGCCAACCCCTGCAGCTCCTGTCAGCTCCCTTCTCTCTCCTCCGGTATGGTCAGCTCCCCTGTCAGCTCCACTGCAAGTCTCGCGGTCTGAGTGCCGCGTGGAGTGTTGCCATGGTAACCCATGGCAACGCCCTGACCCCGCGGCTCTCACGAGACTTGCAGTGGGAGCTGACAGGGGAGCTGACGGACCGGAGGAGAGAGAAGGGAGCTGACAGGAGCTGCAGGAAAGGTAAGTTACAGCTCTCTGCCAGCCCCCAACAGGGCCGCCGGGCTTGTAATGAGCCCGGCGGTCCTGGTCTGTATTATGGCAATGTAAGTTGCCATAATACAGACATTGACTCGAGTATAAGTCGAGTGGGGGGGTTTTCAGCACAAAAAAATGTGCTGAAAAACTCGACTTATACTCGAGTATATACGGTATATATATATATATATATATACACACATATATATACACACACACACACACTGAATACAATTATAAACTCAACACTTTTGCCTCCATATTACATGAGCTGAACTCAAAGATCTAAGACTACTACTACTGAAACTATGTACACAAAAGGCCTATTTCTCTCAAATATTGTTCACAAATCTGTCTAAATCTGTGTTAGTGAGCACTTCTCCTTTGCCGAGATAATCCATCCACCTCACAGGTGTGGCATATCAAGATGCTAATTGGACAGCATGATTATTGCAAAGGTGTGCCTTAGGCTGGCCACAATAAAAGGCCACTCTAAAATGTGCAGTTTTATCACACAGCACAATGCCACAGATGTCGCAGGTTTTGAGGGAGCATGCAATTGGCATGCTGACTGCAGGAATCTCCACCAAAGCTGTTGCCTGTGAATTGAATGTTCATTTCTCTACCATAAGCCATCTACAAAGGCGTTTCAAAAAATTTGGCAGCATATCCAACCGGCCTCACAACCGCAGATCATGTGTAACCATACCAGCCCAGGACCTCCATTTCCAGCATCTACCCTCCAAGATTGTCTGAGACCAGCCACCCTGACAGCTGCTGCAACAATTGGTTTGCATAACCAAAGAATTTCTGCACAAACTGTCATAAACCGTCTCAGGGAAGCTCATCTGCATGCTCATCTGCATGCTCGAAAGAGTAGTGTATTGTTATTTGTCGTCACTACCTCCCCGCGTCGGGAGTGGGTAGTTTGCACGCCTACTGCCTTCCTTGCACGTGGTAGCCGTTTCTCAGGATCCCTCTCTGGAATTGAACCCTGATTCCCTGTTACCCATGGTCACCATGGTAGCTGCGGAAAATAGCATCGAAAGTTGATAGGGCAGACATCCGAATGCGTTGTCGCTGTCACGGGGAAGTGCAATTGGCATGAGGTTATCACAGACAAGCGCAGCCGCCTGTCCACAGCCAACGTGGACAAGCTCACATTTATTAAAATGAACCAGGCATGGATACCACCAGACTTGTCTGTACCTTGTGCAGAATAGACATTTATACTGGCCTCACCCAGCCATTGTTATACTCAAGTGCACCTATTCTTTTTTTTCTTTTTTTTATATGTCCCAATATTTTGGGGGCTACCCCAATTAAAAAAAAAAAAAAACAGTGTTGGCTACCCCCTCCTCCCTCACTGCCGCTTCCACCTAAACCGCCACGATGTATACCCAGATATATCAGAGCTGCTGCAGAAAGTGCGGGCCGCCGTGCGCGCTTTTGGCGTTCTCACTCTGCTGCTGCCCGTCTGTCTGCGCTGCAGCGTAACTTTAGCCTTCCCACTCACACCTTATATGCGACGTGCCCACAAGGTGGAACTCCACCTTGCACATGCTGGAGAGACTGTGCGAGCAGCAGCAGGTGATAGCGGAATTTCCCAGCCCAGATATGAATCCCGTTTGATCGGCGTGAATCAAGGTCGGTAAGACAAGTTGTAATCTAGTGGCCAAGACCTTTGTAAACAATTTAGTGTCTACATTCAGTCGCTCTGCAGAACAGCACCACTTCACCGCCAATGAGTGGGCCTCCATGCGAGACCTGTGTGCCATGTTGCGCTGTTTCGAGGACTCCACCAACATGGCCAGTGCCGCTGACGCTGTTCTCAGCCTTACTATCCCGCATCTATGTCTAGTTGAAAAAATGCTTTGGTTGATGATGGAAGAGGATGTGGCACAGGAAGAAGAGGAGGAGGAAGAGGGGTCATTTCCACGGTTATCAGGCCAGTCATTCACAAGTGGCTCGGAGGGTGGGTTCCTGCACCATCATAGGCCAGGTACACAATTGTCCAGCATCTCCACACTGTCCCATGGAAGCGTTCAGATGTCCATCTTCCAAACACTGGAGAGAAAGAGGAAGTACCCCCTTACCCACCCGCGATCCCTGGCCCTGAATGCCAGCATTTCAAAATTCCTGGCCTTTGAAATGCTGTCATTACGTATAGTGGAGACGGACAGTTTTAAAAACCTGATGGCGTTATTGGACTGCAGAACATGCACCGGAGGCCGCAAATGTTTCTTTTTTCATATGTCCCAATATTTTGGGGGCTACTCCAATTAAAAAAAAAAAAAAAAAAACAGTGTTGGCTACCTCCTCCTCCTCCACCGCCGCTTCCACCTACACCGCCACGGTCACCGCCTTCTCAACCTATGGGTCATTTAGTATAAACTATGTACACAATAGCAGAGGCTTGTGAAGGCCTTTTCTCCATGCATCAGGAGTTGAGCTCAGTTTGAACAATGAAAGAGAATACCCTGCACTCCAACCCTCTCTCAAATGGATAAATATAGTGATTCTCCTTACAGCCATGCTTTAGATTTTGATTTATTTTCTTCCAAAGCTAAAATCAAAGATTTCATCTAGTGCTATTTTATGGCTCAGCTGTATTTTAAGTGATTTCCCTATCCACGTTTGTTTGCAGGGCACTTGTCCTACTCTTACCCCCATTTTACTTCCTTTTGCAGCCCTCTAGCTCTTTCCAGGACTTTTTTAGAGCCATTTTTGTGTCCAAAAGTTCGGGTTCCCATTGAAATGGGGGTCAAGTTCGGGATCAAGTTCGAGCCCGAACTCTGACTTTTTTCCGAAGTTCGGCCGAACCCGCCGAACTCGAACATCCAGGTGTCTGCTCAACTCTAGTCTCTAGCATCGCAATCAGGCATTTGTTGATGTGTTTATTTACAGTCTCTCTGATGTTATATTAGACGAAATAGCTACTAGAGATATTCCAGAGAACCTTGAGGAAATGATAACATATATATCACTCGACGAACGCCTGAGATACAGAGAGAATACTAGAGATAGACCTAGAATAAATTCTATTCGTATGGCACCTGTATTTAATAATCCTAACTCTATGACACTTGCTTTACCAGAACCTAAGCAAGTAGTGGTGACTAGAATAAGTGAAGCAGAGAGACAATACAGAAGAAGGGAAGGCCTGTGTCTTTATTGTGGAAAGGGGTCATCTTTGCCTTAATTGTACTAATAGGTCGGAAAACTCTCACACCTAAGTCCATGAGGGGGACAGGTCTTGGGTGATTCTTTTGTGTCCTCTACTAATGCTCATAAGATGCACTGACTAGTATCTCACATTGTCTAAACTTGGGACAATACGAGGGTTAATACCTTGGCATTGATAGATTCTGGTGCAGCTAAGAACTTTATTAACAAGGATTTTTTCCTAAATCTAACTCTCTACCTTCTAGGTTAAGAAATACGCCATTAGCCATTGAAGCCATAGACGGTCGACCCCTCCAGGTACCCATGATCATGCAAGAATCCATTCCAGTTATTCTAATAGTGGATGTGTTGCATAAGGAGGTCTGTGTAATACAATACATTACTTATCCTACTTTCCCAGTAGTATTAGGATATCCCTGGCTAAGGAAACACAATCCATCTATCAACTGGGAATTGGGAAAAAATTGTCTCTTGGGGTAAGAATTGTTTGGAGAATTATATCACCAAAGTACTTCCCATTTGTCTTACTAATGTACCTAATATATCCCCTTTGACCGTCAAATTACCTGAACAACATTTAACGGTGAAAGAAGTTTTTGACAAAGGCAAAGCTGAATTAATACCACCTCATAGACCATATGATTGTGCCATTAACTTGATTTGAGATAAACCAGATTTCTGGTACCTTTGACCTCAGCTCGCTATTTGACTATTCTTTGTGTGTGTAGTGTTAGTCCGGCCATCCTAAGATCCGGTATACATTACTAGCATTTGCATTCTGCGTGTAGGATCCCCAAATGTTCCTAAAACTAACTATGAAGTGGGGCGGTGGGCGAAACCTCCGTGATGAGGTAAGGGAATCAGCTTGGAGAGCAAAGTACCTTGAATCGACTAAATACTGATAATATTAAAGTCAGTTCCTTAGACATACTAGTATAGAGCAGAAATGTGGATTAATTGAGAAAGGATAGCATGTATTACATACCTGCTCATGAGGTGTGAAATATCTGGATAAAGTCAGAACCAGGACAGCTAAATACACCTATGGGGGTGATAGACATAAGGAACCGGTGATTACCAGTCTCTAACCAATTGAATTTAACTAAGTTTCAAGATAAGCTCACTCTCCTGGAGGACTTAAACAATCTCTCCAGGAAAAACAACCTCCGGTTACGGGGATGCCTGAATCAGTCACAAATTACAACATCATACCCATACTGAAGCAACTCTTCTGATCCTTACCACCAGGGATTCCCACGTTAAGAGCTGATGATTGATCTTGCTCAAGCAGCACTTAACCTTAGGCCTTTGCAATCTCTTTGGGCCTCAACATTTCCCCTACATTGGCGACTCCAGTGGAGAGCCTTAGATGCTCCACCGATGGCTCCTCAGGCAACAAGCACCAGGCCCTCCTCTAGACTCCCAGTAAGAGACTTTCTCCTGCTGCTAGGCCGAACACCCAAGCCGCCGCCTGAGGCCTAAGGGATTGTGTCACACGACCACCAAGGAACGTCCATTTCCACACCTGACCAAACTCAGGTTTACCACCTGACAGTGAGGAGGGGTTCATTCCCCTAATTGTTTTTGTCTTTCTGCTATTTTACTTATCTTGTTATCTTGTCTTTCTTATTAAAAAACATCATACGCTCAGACGTGCTTATTACGCCGCATTTAGTCATATACATACCAGAGATAACAATCTACCCATCAGTCCTACGCTACTCATGATAATACCTTATCTCGCTTTTTATTACGATATCCTATGCTTTTGACTACATGTTGCACTGCTTTTTGCCGTAAATAAGCTAGAGTTGTTATTGTGCCCATAACCTCTATTTTATTAGACTTAACACTTTCCCTTGTTTAGTACTACAATACCATATGCTTGCCACACTGCAATTTGTCATATACACTCCAGGAACAATGACCTGCCCATAACCTCTACTAAAGTGCTTTATAAGTGTACACATGGACCTGGAAGTTAAAATTGTTGTACATGCATATACCACTCTAACCTTGCCCCCTTCAGCGCCTATACCAGCCCCCCCATAAAGAGGCCCCAGCCCAGTAACCCATACGCCGACGGTACACGGCGCGAGGAAACCCTCTCATCATCATAACAGTAAGTTTAATAAGGGCACTCACCCCTCAGACCCTACCTGATCCATTTACCTACCCAACAATTGACACCTCTGAACAAAATTGGTTATCTAGAGGAATGAAAGGGTTATTTATTTATATATACAAACTTGGTTAATACCTTCCTTCTTTGCTTTAATATTCCATGCTTCTATTAGGTGTGCATGGCCCCCTTTCACCCTAAACCCCATATCTACCAAATAGCTGATCTCACCACATACTAGGTTATCCGCTAGGCCTCCTGCTTAGCATTCAGCATACCTCAATGACCTCATCAACTGACTTCACTTATTGGCAAATACCTGGATTATCTGCATATGCCCTATCTGTCTAACGAAGCAGCGGCACACATAGGTCCCCCTATAAGACAGAAGAAATAACAGCCACACTCCTATATCTTCAATGCACTCCTTGACAGAGAGCCACTTCCAATAGACATGTTAACATTTGCTTACTACCCAAACCTAAGAAATCTCTATTTAAACTTGGCCATTCCACACTATAACCATGCTTAACATGAACAGAATAAAACCATTTGTAACCAACCTAATTCACCCGGGCCAGGTGGGTTTTATCCCATCTAGGCAAGCGTGTGAGAACACCAGATGAGACTTTGACCTGATCTGAGTGGCGTCCTACAGACACATCCCCACCCTATTCCTTTGACTCAATGCGATACTATTATGTTTTACTTTTGGTTTACACAATACTGAAGTTCTTTCCCTACTTGATCTGGCGTAAATTCATTGTTAGGTGAATATCAATGTGTTCAATTGTTAATTTTCTTCACTCTAACATGGCAGAACAATGAGATTCATATATTGACTATGTTACTGTACCG